GCTCTCATTATTTAGAAATCTTTTTAGAAGCGGAAGTCTTGGAGGTGAAAGGAGTTTACAGCTAGTCGTTATGAACTTAATCGTATTTTCGGTTTTATTATCTTGAAGTCTTATTAATGTGGATTGCTGTCATACAATCCCATAAAATTGCATATTATTTCGTAGTGTTAAATGGGAATCTGATCGTGGCATTTAGGAGTGCCTAATGCGTCGTTGGAATAGGTCGACCAATCTGACCATCCAGTTGATCCCAGTTGCAGGTTGTTTCGCTCATGAAGACTGCGAACAATTTCGGTTGACATGGGACCATCTTTGGTCGCTCAGACCCTTGCCGAGGCATCAAGAATCCAAAAGAAACGTTTGTTGCGTGTAAGGAGCATGTACTTGATCATTGTGAAGATGTATTAGTTGATTAAGTAGTATGGAATAATACTAGAAAAACATGAAAATAGGATTGCTTTTTGAATGTCCTAAATCAATGTATAAAGAAAATATTAAAATTTCAAACGCTTGTACGCCGTGGGGAATATGGTTTTTAAACTGACTCATGACTCTTACACAATGTTTGGTTCCGTAAATAAATGTAAGTATGACAAAGAAATATTATATAAGAATTGGCAGCGCTCGTATCGATCGAACGTTTTTTTTTATGTAAGAGCCGTCGCTAACCAAATATTGCTTTCTGCATTAATACCTGGTTGGTTACCTTGAATAGGTCATGAACATCACATATGGTGATTTCGTGAAAGCGTTATATAGTCAGTTCATTGGACGTGCTGACGTACCGGGTGGTTCAAGTCTTACGTATTGATGTAAGCCTAGGGTTTATATTTAAAATATAAAAATACAATAATATTGCCCTCAGCCATATAAATTCTCTTGTGATTGTGGATGGATAAAAGTTGTCTTGTCTTGTGCTGCAGTTAACGCTATACCTCGCTGTATATATTATATGCACATGTCTACTTAAAAGTTTTTGCATTGTTAATTGTACCGATCATATTAACGTGAATTGAACTATCTACTCCAAAACAGTTACGGCAATCTGTTGATTGTTGATATAATGCTCATTTCAAAATCTCAATCCGTAAAACGGCTACTGATATATATTCGAGTCTAATGCAACGTCTAAAGAAACATAGTACGTGCAAAACAGACATGTAGGCCAACAATATCACAATGCGAAATACATTTACATCTAATGAGCTCATCTCATCTTATGACGCCAGCTTTTAGACTTGGTTGCATGAACGACGCAAGAGATTCATTGAGGAGGAATATATAAGAAAACATATTCTGAGAGTATTTTTCAAGAAAATTACTTGTGCGCAATAGCTATTTTCATTTTGCATTGCAAGGTATTTCGTATGAATTGTATTTATCACATTTTGGAAGTCATTGGCGTTTTTCTCCTTTCGATATATATATGAAAGTAATATATTCTCTAAAGCTTATTAGTCTGGAAAAAGTGAACATTCGGTGTTCATGGAAAATGAATTTGACTGTTTCGTATTACTTCTTTCCTCTTTGTTTTAAGTATTGTTGTTAAGGGCGTTTTACTTTATTACATGTTTTGATATATATAAAAAATATTGTATTACCTAAGGCTAAAGTCATTTATCATTTCTACATGTGATTGTTAGTAGCAATATCCTCCAGCTATTTATTATTTATTTCATGGGATGGAATTTCTTTATCAGAGCGACCCAAATTTCTGTATGGTCAACATAACAACTTCGCGGTCAAACTTTAGTTCTGTGAGATGTAGGGGTATTGTATATATGCAAATGAAGTAATCAGAAAATGTAATACAGGAGTCATTGTTTTTTTTCTATGGGAGGGGGGGGAGGGGGGGGGGTGCATCAGAAGACGGGAATCAAAATACAGTGTGCAACAGGAGACAATTTAACAGAACATCGATATTAAGCTTTATTTCGAAACGTTGAGGCATCTTCAACATTCACAGACTTTAAAACCCTGGACCATGCTTTATTGTCCCATCTCAACGTCCGTGTCAAGCCCTCCTACCTGCATCTCTAACAGTTGGCAAAGTTTCCATGACAAATTTTCACTGATTCATAGTGTTGAAGTTTGATGGAAAAATGAAGATGTGCTGGGTACTTTTTCATACTTCCTCTTCAGACTGCGATATGAAGTTAACTGCTGATATTCGCAGAAAAGTAAGACGTAAAACTCCTTTCATTCATATTCGTTTGTGATATTCAAATTGGTATAATATGTAGTTGACCAATCAATTAAAGTTACAGAACTGCTCGAAATACGTTCCTTCCAAGTTATATACATATGAAAGTCATCTGATGGTCCAAAAACGCTCTGTTATTTAAGCTAGGTACTCTGTCGAGATTCACACTTTGGCATAAAGTTGAGCTCACGTCGACTTGTGACTAAATTCAGATGCTATAATTATTTTGCCAATTGCGGTTGTTCTTGTAAAAGGTGAACCTTAGCCGCCTTTCAGTCAGTGTGCGCGCGTAGGCTTTGTACGTTTATTTGCTTGTATAAATTTATCGACTAGATGCGATTTGGTTATATATAATTATAGTGTGAAAACCCCATAACTTTCGTTAGTTCGTGATAGGATTCCTAGGATGATAGAAATATAGGAATAATTAAAAATTCTCAGACTCCATACAACTGGAAATAAATTATAATAGATGACAGCAGTTGTAATAAACATTTCAAATACAGATGAAAAAGCACATTATATATTGCTTGAGGTAAAATTATAGATTGATCAGGAAGTAATATATACTTTGTTAATATATAAATATAATGAATTATAAATAATATTGGCATTTTGTACAGAAAGGGAACATATTAAAGGTTGTGGACCGATTTCAAATACAAGATAATTAAACAATATATACTTGGTCAAAATATTAACATAATTAGATGAATTATTCATAATATTACATTATAATTTGGATGAATTCTTCCAACTATCATGAACTGGGTGCATAATTAGATAAATCATTCATATTTTCAAATGATATGCAAAATTAGCCGATATAACATCGAGACGACTTCTAACAATTGCAACGAAGTGGATGCTTGTAGTGTCAGAATAGAAAGTAAAGCAAATGATATGGCGGTTATTGCGATTTTTAAGCCCCTCTCCCCTTCCCCAATAAAAAGAATGCAAGTTTGTTTGGTTGTACGTTATAGTAATTTTATTAGTACTTAAACCTATGCAGATAAATATGAGTTTGACTTCTATTTACTATATAGTAAGTAAGTAATGCTTAGGTTAGTATCGACCACAATCGACACCAGCATACAGATTCATATTTTATATAAGTAATTGAACATAGTAGGTCAGGAAACTTGGATGACATCCAAAGATTATGGTGACCTTGACTTAGATCAATCGGTTAATGAACTATGGTCGTATCTTCTGGAACATTTCAGATTCCTTTCACTTCACGTTCTGAAGTATGAAAGCGACTTACGCAAGTATTCCTGCCTGATGTTCAGTTATGAAATTGGTACGAAGCGGTAGAATAGCGTTGTCAACTGAACAAGTTGCTTTGTGGCACTAACGCTTCGAATCTCAATGTGCTATCTCAATAAGGAACTCTAGACATGCCAAAACCATTTTATGCAAACGTGAACAAGTATTGGACGCAGAGATGATTTGGTAAAGTCTTAATGCTGTTGTTATTAACAGTTCGCTGCTGTTCAGTTTCTTTGTTAATAATTATATGTCCATTCGATACACCATCCATCTCCAATGAGGATTGTTTATCTGTAACACGTGTGACATCTCGATAATTATAATAATAATATTTTTTTCATTCTCGTTTACGACCTCTCCAAAAGATCCGATGTGAACAGGTTTAAGTAACTTTGATAATCTTTTACGGAGGACCACAGTCTGCTGAGATATGACATAACTGTAATCCGTCAATACCAGCTCTTGGACAAAGAATATCCAGTGGCTCAACTAGATGAGTGGGTACACGTGGGTTAGGGCTTCTCTTAGAAAGGCAAAAATGCACTCTTAAAGATAGTTCATTGCTTGAGGCCAAATCAGAATACCTTATTATATTAGAAACGGCAATCAGACTAGCGACCAAGTGAGGTACACTGGTGGTCAAAAGAAAAAGGTTATTTTCTATCAAGTTATAGCTTATAAATTCTTTATATAGAATCCAAACCGTATTAGTTTTCTAAGTTTGGAAGAATAGATGTCATTTTTGGGACGATGACGTAAGAGCCATAGACTGTGATTTTCATTGACGTAAAGCAAGCAAGTTTTCAGCTTGTATGACATTTTATCGAAAGTGTACCGTAAACAACCAATATAGAGAATTAATAAGAGAACCATTTGATTAACTATCTGCCAACAATGGGATATCTATCAAGAAACAGATATTTACCAATACAAAAACACTATCTGCTTTATTGATTTCTCCAATGACGTCATTGCTTTTCTATTTTTTCCCTGTCATGGCTTATTTATTGCGTATTGTCAAAAACTGAAGTAGGTCGATATGAGAAGTAAATATGAAAACAGATTGTTTATGACAGACGAAGTCATTTTGTAACAGACGAGATCAGTTTAACCAGACGTCTGCAAGATTGACTCTAGTCACGCGGTATATGTTATTTATAATCAGGTTCAAGGCAAAATAATGTTTACAACATTCTATTTTACATAACATTATATATATACATTTTTCAAACTGTTTTTTCTACCAAAGCGCCGGATGTGAGATGGTACAAGGGGTCTCAAAATAGTAATTGTTCTGCTGTGCTTTTTCCACACTTTACTAGCAAATATTTTACCACACCATACAATTTACATGCTCCATTGCTCAACACGGTTGTTACAGTGCAATATTGGTTATCATATTTTATGCAAGCTTAAAACTTAGCAAGTTAACCTAACATTTAAGAATTCATTGTCGATGCTTTATAAGGAAAAATAATATTCAGAAGAACATAGTAATAAAATGTTGATATTTTTTTTTTTAGCATGGTTAGGAAGTCTGGGTATCGGCATATCACTATTCATATCACCATTTATAACCATAATATGTCGACGGAAGAGTCCAAGACTGTATGCCGTCATTGGTGGTCTGATCTGTGCCCTTGGTTGCTTGTTCCTGGCTTTCTCCAACCAACCCGAACAGCTGTTTATCAGCCATTGTGTGGTCATGTCTTTAGGAAGTGGTATCACAATTTCTACAGCTAACATCATGGTTGGAAGGTATTTTAGGAGACGAAGAGAACTGGCTGAAATGGTTCTGGTGTCTGGAACTGGTGTAGGAACAGCAGTGGTATCGGTACTTTTCCGGAAATTAATCGAGTAAGTAAACTTAAAACGTATCCCTTTAAGGGATACATTCGCCTTATTATCTGTCATCAGTAGTGTCAATGGTGCAAATTAATGCTATAAGTGACCCCGAAACACATAAAAAACCTAATGACTAGGATATCTAACCCAGATCATAAATGAGTAAATTAGTTCTTCATACCAACTGAACGTTTGATTTTCAGATTTATAGGATGGATGCATGCATTACAATGTGTAGCAGGCTTGTTGGTATTGACTATCATAGCTGGTGCACTATATCGTTCAGCCTCACTATACCATCCTCGCAGAAAAGTCATCCTTCACTTGAAAAATCAGAAGAAAAACAGACGTGATCGTGAAGCAGAGAAACCACCATATTTAGACTTTAGTGCTTTGAAAATGAGATCGTTACAAGCTTTATTGGGAATTTGTGCAATCGTTGGAATTGGTATTCATGTTCCTTTCATAACATTGGTAAGTATATGCTGTCTCTATTTTCCCCGAAGATTCAGTTGACACACGAGGGGCTGTCAATTGCTGTAATATTTTCCTATTTCCCGGAAGATTCAGTTGACACACGGGGGTTGTCATTTGTTGTAATATTTTTGTATTTTCCTCGAAGATTCTGTTGACACATGGGGGCTGTCAATTGCTGTAATATTTTTCTATTTCCCAGAAGATTCAGTTGACACACGAGGGGCTGTCAATTTTTGTAATATTTTTCTATTTCCCGGAAGATTCAGTTGACACACGGGGGTTGTCATTTGTTGTAATATTTTTGTATTTTCCTCGAAGATTCAGTTGACACATTGGGGCTGTCAATTGCTGTAATATTTTTCTATTTCCCAGAAGATTCAGTTGACACACGAGGGGCTGTCAGTTTTTGTAATATTTTTCTATTTTCCTCGAAGATTCAGTTGACACACGGGGGTTGTCATTAGTTGTAATATTTTTGTATTTTCTCCGAAGATTCAGTTGACACACGACTAGGTTTGTCAAACCAACTATATGGTATTCTAGTAAAAGGTAGACAGCCAAGATATCTTACCGAAAAGAGAGTTGACAAAACTGCATCAAGCTTTGAAACGACTCTAAAATCCTGAAATTTAACACTTACAAAATAGAACAGACGATAGACTCTGCCATTGTTCCAATTTTCATGAAAAATTTACATCGCCTCTCAATTCTATTGTAAATTTTCCCTTTTTTGTGACATTTACTGCGATTTTACGGTCGCTGGTTAGCACTTAATCCAGGCGCTGCCAGTTGCTCTGAGATCATGAAGTAGGTCGATCTGAAGTATGCGAGTTTACATGCACCGAACAAAAGTGCAAAATGAACATGAAAGATACATTTATATATTAAGAGTTTTTTTAATATTTTAAATTCCAAGGTATTTATATTTCTATCAACAATGAAGAGAATTGCGCAATTTTGACATTTAAAGAAACTCCATTAAACTCCATGCCAATCAAAATTTTATTTAAAGAGTCTTTAAAATAGACATCAAATAAGGATTTTATTTAGGACCTACTGGTGTCCTTTGTAACAATTTGGATGCTGCTGATAAAGAACCTTGTGTCAATGGTCTTCAAAAGCACTTGAGCCTCGATTTTAATCGTGGATAAAAAACAAAACACTTTGTGGTAAATGACTATTTGAAATAAACATATTATAAGTGCTGAATTTGGTAAGACAGTTCTACATCGTTTATTTTCGACCAAACACCGAATCAGCTGAATCGCTTTTTTATTCTTTTGAGAAACACATCGACAACATATTTATGTTTATATTTTCGTTTGTAATTTCAGATGAGAACAGCATCAGAGAATAAAAACATTGACCCAGATCATTTGGTTTTACTTAATGTCTATCTTGGTGTTGGATTTGTTATTGGTTGTTGTGCCTTGGGTTATATCATTATTAAAAATAGTAACGATTGCTCCATTTCAAGGCGTCACTTGTGTCAAACTTCCGCTATCTTGTGTGGTGTTTTTACTTTACTTTTTATCATGGCTGAGGACCATAACGCACATTCGTTATACGCATGGGCGTACGGTATCTGCTGTGGAAGTTACTATTTGACATTAAAAATGTACGCTTATGAATTAGTCAGACATAAATTAATGGAGAGAGCATGGAGCTTTGTTTGTGCTGTTCAGTGCTTTCCATTCTTATTTGGAGCTCCAGTGGCAAGTAAGTACTTTATTTACTCATCATTAGCAAAACTCAACTTAATTTGCAATACTCAATTTTACCCAACTTGAATTAACTTCATGGCAATACTCAATTTATACCCAACTTGAACTAACTACATGACATAACTCAATTTTACCCATCTTGAACTAACTACATGGCAATATTCAATTAATACTCAACTTGAACTAACTACATGGCAATACTCAATTTATACTCATCTTGAACTAACTACATGGCAATATTCAATTAATACTCAACTTGAACTAACTACATGGCAATACTCAATTTAAACTCAACTTGAACTAACTACATGGCAATACTCAATTTATACTCAACTTGAACTAACTACATGGCAATACTCAATTTAAACTCAACTTGAACTAACTACATGGCAATACTCAATTTATACTCAACTTGAACTAACTACATGGCAATACTCAATTTATACTCATCTTGAACTAACTATATGGCAATATTCAATTAATACTCAACTTGAACTAACTACATGGCAATACTCAATTTATACTCAATTTGAACTAACTACATGGCAATACTCAATTAATACTCAACTTGAACTAACTACATAGCAATACTCAATTTAAACTCAACTTGAACTAACTACATGGCAATACTCAATCTAACCCAACTTGAACTAACTACATGGCAATACTCAATCTAACCCAACTTGAACTAACTACATGACTATACTCAATTTATACTCAACTTGAACTAACTACATGACAATACTCAATTTTACCCATCTTGAACTAACTACATGGCAATATTCAATTAAAACTCAACTTGAACTAACTACATGGCAATACTCAATTTATACTCAACTTGAACTAACTACATGACAATACTCAATTTTACCCATCTTGAACTAACTACATGGCAATATTCAATTAATACTCAACTTGAACTAACTACATGACAATACTCAATTTATACTCAACTTGAACTAACTACATGAATATGTACTTAACTTGAAATAACTACATGGCAATACTCAATTTATACTTAACTTGAAATAACTACATGACAATATTCAATTTTACTCAACTTAAACTAACTACATGGCAATACTCAATTATACTCAACTTGAACTCAAGTCAACTCGAAGTCAAATGCCTTTATTACAGGTTTCGAGGTTTGTCCAGATTATTATTGAGTACGGAAGCAAAGTATGTCGAAATTAAATGAATATAATTTATTTCGAGAAAAGTATGTCGAAATTAAATAATCAATCGGTTTAATTTCGACATAGTAAGTTAAATTAATGATTATATAATCATTTTTTTCTTCTGTTAATTTTGCCCCAGGACGCTTCCGTAATTGTGTTATTGTGTTTGAGTGAAAGTTTTCTTTTATTGTTGTTATGATCATTAACCTTTCTACAAATACTCGTGGTACTGTCAACGTTGGGTATTGAACCGTCCAGCAAATCTCCCAAGTACAATCTTTCATAATCAGAAAGTCGTTTTTGATTCATTTCCATGCTGTCGTAATCTAGAAATGAGAATGTTTCATAACTAAGGATGTTAAATACTTTGTGAAAATTGGATCTCTTCGTAATTTGCCATCAGTATTCATGAAAAAGGTAATAAGTTCGGTCAAATAATCATTGACATGAGGTAATATCTCTTAGAATCAGGTTAATTGGAATGCCAGGAACTGAATAAGATTGTTTCCAATATAAACATTCCTATCCAGTCCATTCGGGTCTTCCATTAGTGCCCGGATCTCAACCTGTTTTTTTTTTTTACCTATCTCGGAGCTTTGGCCAATTCTTGTCGGGCTACGAATTTATCTAAAGGTTTCGGAATAAGGAGCCTAGCGCTAGTGGATACGTCAAGCCTGCGTCTGAAGACGCTTGCGGGAACCCCGATTTGTGTCAAAGTTAAAGGGAATTTCACATTGTGTAGCTTGTCTCTACACCAAATGCAACTGAAAAAAGGAAATATTTCCATGCAGCAGATGTGGATGATACGGGTTAGGGGGTATGACAGGTTCAAATTATAGCTTCAGGGGTGCGAATGCTAAAAAAGGTTTGGAGCCACTGCAGTGGGGAAAACAAGACATCGTAAATAGATGTCAATGTTTGAATCCGTATCAGTGTAAAATGGCAGTTGGAATTCAGAATTTAAGAAGAGTTTGTGTCTATGTATACCTTTTTAGTCGAAAGAGGACTTGGAACGCTATGAGTGCATGATGATTGTAAATTCTATGCATTGCAGGCTGGCTTGCAGCTATTTCAAGAACTATGTTCCTATTTCCAACTGTTAAAATGTTTTCCTTATAGTTATATTTAATTAATCAGATGCAATTCGGCGCTCAATAAATTAGCATTCTTTGTTTAAAAATTCCTTGCAAACAAAATTATTTTTCTTATGGTGTCACTGAGATATGGGGCGTCTTTCCTCTTTAGATTTTAATGGCATAACTATTTCGATTCTGGAAAAATTTAATTGCAGAATATAAAAGACACTATTGTCGAATGATTTAAGAAGCTGTTCCAAATATAGCGCTGAAATTTACTTAGTTTGGTTTTATTAATTCACTTTACTAAGTTGAAGCCAGAACGTACCAAAAATAGAAACGATTGACGAAGGCAGTGATATTTGTGAAATAAATCCATACGATATCAGTCCCAGAAACTAGCTTAATACTAGCCTAGTTTCGTCATTGAACGTCGTCACAAGCTTGTATTTAATACATATCTCATTTTTCCAATCCTGCACGGAGACAGTGGTCGTTTTAACTTAATCTTATTTCACCAATAGATTCGTAACAGTGGCGTTCGATCGATACTCTGACGCCGGCCTTTGGCGTGATTCCAATCTATATTTGGTACAATTGACGTCATTTGTCACTATGGTTCCACGATTGTCCTTCACCGAACAGGATGTTTTGCCCAGGTGCGAATCCTTGGAGCTACTATTTATAGATAAATTACTAGATAATTATCTAGAAATATTCCAATAGCGTTTCTAAATCGAGCATCAATAAATCAGCTGACCGATTCATTTGATAACAATCAACATGCGTGTCAACTTGACCTGAATATGGCCCGTGCACTTCTCATCAAACGGACTTGTAGCCTATAAGATCATCTTTTTAACTGTTGACAAATTCGGCAAATTATTTTTTAAATAGATCATGAAACCTGGGGATTTAGCCTATACTCCTATGCACGAGTATTAGATAAGTAGATAGACCTCTTTAGCCACCCTTCATTGTATGCAGTATTTTTCACCAGGTTGAGAATCGGAAATGAGATCATGGATCAGCAATCGTGTTGAAGGCTAGGTTGTAATAATGAATAAAAGGTCCGAATAAAGTCCAGATTGAAATGTTCCCGTCTAATGTTAAATATTATGTTAAGAATTCAATAGTATAAGTTACACAAAATTTTAATGTAGGTTAGGCATCCATATGCTCTTTAAAAAAATCTTACACCAGAAAGACAAACGGCGTCGGTGCTCGCAACCGAAAATCAAATTGTAAAATATCTGTTAGTGAGTTTAATCGAGCACTTGCCAAGTTACCGACGAAGTTCGGCTTTTCTGTTACTGTCAGTGTTGAAATCTCTTTCAATTAAATTTTTGCTACGAATTTTCTAGTCTGGACTCATTTTACATAACTGCAAGTAATAGACAGTCCACGATAGCACGTTAACATATTCACGTTTACGTGTCATATTAAGAAAGGAAAACTTTCAATTCTCTAGATTTATAACGATTTTCCCTGATATTCCTGAAAAGAATGTTTCCTTGATGGCTATTTCATGACCTGTGCGAAACCCGAGAAACTATTTGGACTCAATGGGACCATACGAAATGTTAGTTGGAAAACTATGGGAAATATTTCCTTTAATAACGCTATTATTTAAATTGCTTAAATAAGAATGTGTTATCTAACATTTACTTATAGAACGTTGTTATGATTTAATTACATGTTAATTAAACTCTCCACGCTAATTTTAACTTTTAATGAGTTGTATTTTACATTAGTTATTAGGCTACTAAAATATACACTACTAACCTACTTTAGTAGGTTTTGGTATACTGGTGTTTTAATTACATATTTTCTTACTAGTGAACATTACTGGATCAGAAAAGGAGGACGCAAATTTGCATTCAATTTGCAAAAAAAAAACAAATAATAATAAGACAAATTACAATGGTTGCATTACAAGAATACCTTCATGTATAGTTCCACCAAGACATAGTTTAGGTGCTAGATGTTTAAACCACAACAATACATTACTTTACCACAATACATAACTTTACAACAGCAACATAACGTTTTCGTCTACATTTTTTCAAAAATACAAAACTACCCAAAATGTATTAGTAGATTATATTAGTAACCTATGAAAACAACATCTCATTGAACGCCGGAAAATATGTTTATATTCGATTGAAAGTGCAAAAACATCTTAACCTCCTCTATTTTCTATTTTCAGCTTATCTTAAAGAAGCCCACAAAAGTGATGTAGCTGGCTACATCTTTGCTGGAGTAGCTATGATAGTTGGTGGTCTGTTATTTTATACCATGCCCTATTTTGAAAGACATCCTTCCAACCAGGAAATTCTTCAGAAACAGAACGGTTCGTGTAGTGCCCACATGTCAGAAGCCGCTGCTTTGCTCGATCTTGAACTTTCCGAGGCGTTGACCTCAAAGCCTTTAAACAATCTACAATGTATTATGTCACATTCCAAACTCAAACCGAACTGTAAGGAGGGGAATAAAATTCAGCTCCAATGTTACATTCAACACAAAGAAAGAGACAAGCCTAAACAGTTAGTTTTGTCGAAAATTGCCGAAGAACGAGATAGCAATCGTGTGAACGAAATGACTCAAAACAATAAGATTGTCGAGTGCATCAACACGAAAAACGAGTTTTCCGAATCTGCGACGGACGGCCCTTCTGACAGTACATTCTCCAATAATACGGATAAATCTAGTAGCAAGGACAGCAATTCGGTTA